ATTAAGCTCTGCTTTAATTCTGTCTGATGAACGTTGTCCTGCCATTCAGTTTTCATGTTTTGCCACAGGGAAAGTGTTGGACTGAGAGGGGAGCTGTTCTGTGGATTTCTTGTGTTTCACACGGGAGCTCACAGTCATTTTTGGAAGAATAGTTAAAGGGGTACATGTGTGATACTTTTGTTTTCAAGTTTGGAGGTCGAAATGTAATTAAGTGTAAATACATTCTAAGGAATGAAAACAAATTTCTTACTAATCTGGACTGCATCTCGTTTTCCCGCAGTAACGAGGCTGCTGGCCCCAGCATCTGGTCCTTGGTCTTCTCCTCCTCCCCTCTCTGCCCACAGCCCCATCCTGCCCCACTTGTGTGTGAGGAGAATCCCATGAGGCTCCCAGGAAGCAGGAGGAAATGCAGGTCAGGATGCCAAAAACAGAGATAAAGAACATGGGAACTAGGAGAAAGGTAGATGTGATATCCAGGAGGAGTGTGCCTGCTGTCGTTCAAACCACTTCTTTTTCCCTATTCCCCCCCCAAAAGACTTTAGGGCCTGTGTTAGCATTTCAAAGAGAATTTGGGCTGAGAAAGGAATGCTGGCTCAGCCAGTCTCTGTGTGTGAGGTGAAGAGAGGGAAATATGAGGCGTCAGCAGAGGAAAATCCCTTCTCCATCAGGTGCATCTGCCTCCTTCCATTTCACCTTGCCCGTTCCTGTCCCTTCCCTTTCTGTTGCAGCCCTCCCTCCAGGAGCAAGCTGCCCTATCCCGTGCCTGCTGCGATTGCATGCAGCAGCATCAGAGCACACCAGAGGCTCTCTCCTGCTCCCAGATGTCACCGGCGGTTGTTGACTCGTCGTCTTCATCAGGAGGAATGGAAATAGTGCAAACACATTACTTTGCCTTCAGAGTGATGTGCAGCGTCATTTCTGATCTGTTGATTTAAATAATTTAGCATTTTAAAAGGGACAAATCAACTTAATTTGCTTAGGGGATACTTAAAGGTTGAGAACAATTTTATATCAATTAAAATTAGTGATAATTCATTTATGATGGAACTAATATAATTAATTAGTTGGTTGCTGCTTATCTTTTTTGTAATAGATACATTGCTTTTAAACATCTGCTCAGCAGTCCATTATAGTAGCACAAGAATGATTTTACATGAGAGCAACAGAGTAGCAGATGCTTCCTGATGACAAATTCCCAATTTGTTTGGGAAACAGTTGGTGAGTCCTGGATTCACAGTTTTAATGTGAAGCATGGCAACCATGCAAGCAAATTGCAATGCAGAAATAAAAAAAAAAAGAAAGAACAAAGCAACAACAACAACAACAAAAAACAAACAAACAAAAAAAAGAAACAAAGAAAGAAAAAAGAAAAAGAAAAAAAAAGGGAAATAAAATTATTGCAGTTATTTCATCTCATCTTTAAGGATTGCAAGTTAGTCAAAAAACATTTTCTGTAAACACAATAATAAACTTTTTTCTTTACGCAGATATGTTTGTCTTGACAAGATCAAAGCAAAATTACAAATTTGTTTTCTTATTCATGTACATGTATGAATGCTTTGTAAAAGTTATGCAATCTCCCAGTGTTAAAATTGATTTCAGTGCTAATAGAATAACTAAAATTTGGTATAAGCTGAAAGAGATAGAACATCTGTATATGTTGAAAAGGAATGCAGAACAATTACTTGAAGAAAAATTGAATAGGCTATCAAGTGAAAAGAAAATTCTGTGTTTTTTTTTTTTTTAATGAGTTACACCTACATTTTATGTTTATGGCTTTACCAGTAGCTGGTTAAAGAGGAAAAAATTTATTTTTCTTCCTTTGGGCTGATGTAACACTCTCTGAGCTTCCGTGGCCTTATTCAGCCATGCATAATTTTTAGATGTTCCAGAGATCGCCTAAAGTGACTGTACTCATTTTATTCCTCTCATCAGCAAAGTTCATCTCATCAGTGAGAGAGATACCATCAGAACGTTTAGGCTCCAAGATGTACTTTCCTTGGATAAAACCTATGCATCATACGTACAGAGGCTGTAAAGTACAGGATTACACATCAGTGCTGCATTTTCTATGTAAGAAGTCTTGCCACTACCTTTTACCAAAAGGAAAGGAGATTAGAAATAGCCCTAAGAAGGATTCAGCTATCTGTCTTTCTATGCAGATCTCAAATACAATGCACCCGCTTGTCACTAGAAATGGCACGAAAAGAGATCTGATTATCAGAAACTGTTCTGAATAAGCTTAGAAATGTTGTAGTAGACCCAAGTCCATCTTGTAACAGAGCAGAAGAATGTCAGTTTCAAGGCTTCTTCCAGCTCTGCATAAAGCAGAGTACTTGATTTCAGACACTGCTTAAACCATCAGTCAGAGAAGTCTGGGATAATGCAAAATGAATGTGTGCACAAACATTCTGCTCTCCAGTGCAGTAATTTGTTTAGAGCAAAGCTGTTTATACAGCCTTCTTCCCTTGTCTGCTGCCTCTCCTGTCATCAGACTACGTACATCTTCTGGGAAGGCCACTTCTGCAGAAAATCAGCTTTCTCTGGAAGTAATAGGATGTTTTGGTAAGTGGCCCACTGTCTAATATCCTGGTAATGGCAGGAATTCTCAAGAGAGTTTTCTCTCTGGCCTTCTTAAGGAACAATAAAATTGGAGGGACTGACTGACTCCTTTACTTTCCTTTTCCTCATACCAAAAATGAAGACAGAAGTTGCTTACCAGTTGAAATCCTTGCTAACCTAGCAGTCTCAATTCTTGATGACAAAGTTATTCTTAGCTTAATTTATTACTTATTGAGATGGTAAGTAGGTTATTTACAAAACATGTTTTCCCTAAGGGTATGCAGCTTTTGAGTATTTAATTTTTGAGTTTAAGTTATTTATTTTCTTAGTTATTTGCAGGTAGTAAAGAGTATGACTCCTTTATCATTTGGTCTAAAATTAACAAGAATCAATGTTTATGTGAGGGTTTAGAGTTATTTAACCTTACATAGACAAAGCAGCACAGAGAAGTGTGTGTGTACATGAAGCTTTTTTGGTAGAACAACAGTATTTAATACATGTCCAGATAGTCCTGCCATTTCCAACAGTTTTTAGGACAAGGTAAGCATAAGATGATGCAGAATTGATGTCTATAAAGCAGCATTGTTTTGATTCCAAAAGGCTGATCCAAAAGGGTTTTGCAGATTTCAATCTAGATTCCATTCTGAATGTGGATTCTTTTGCTTTCCTACCTGTATGAACTCAAAAGCCAAGTTGTTTTTTCATTTCCATTACCACGTGCTACTGGTTTTCTTTGTTTTATTATTCACACTAAAGCACTGAAAAAAGACAGATTTGAATAACATTGTTTACTGTAGAGAGTCTGTCTTTTCCTCAGGATGTATGTATTTTAATGGTATTCTGCTGTATTTGACATCTGATCACATGTTCTGACATGCAGGAAGAGGAAAAGTTGTCTTTCTTAGTCTGTTAAAGGTTTTATAGGAACCAGGTATGGCATAATTACCTTCACCTGTCCTATGAAGTCAGATACAGCAATTGTTATTGTCCCTTCTGGCATGTTGTCTTTAGTATCCCTTCATACATTTTTTTATAAGTAGGTTAACATGGAGAGTATTTGCTTTAATGTTCCCTTTCAGTGCTTCATATACCTGTTTCTTGGGGTGCAGCTGCACAGAAGTTCCCAGAAACCTTCTATTCTCTGGCCATCTGTGATTTTGTCATTTCATGTCCAAAACTGTATTTACAGTACCTTGGTCTGCAGCTTCCCACAGTCTGGGTTCTTCATTCATGGTCTTCATTCAGCTGCAGCTGGTAATCTAGTATACTAAATGTGGGGGAAATATCTTTTATGTTGACTACAAAAAAAAAAAAAAAAAAAAAAAAGTGTTTGGCATGTTATTATTGCTATAGTTTATCTGTTACTATACCACCTCATAGATTGATTCATGGCTTAGCTGCCAATGTGAGACAAAAATGCAAAATTCTTTGAATTTCTTGTGTGTTGAACTATTGTGGGATCTGCTGGTTCCTCTTTTCCATTCAGTCTTTTTCATTGTGCGTGGACAGAGACAGCAAACCAATATTCATGGTTGGCAATAATAATCTTGTGGAGTAAACGCCCAACCTGTGGGGCATTATCATTGCTTAGTTCATGCATGAAAATTTGGGGGTTTGAAAACCGAACAAGTACACACCCATAGTGTCTTTTTGGAAAGATTGTTCAAACATTTAATCTTATTGGCATTAGTAATTTAACGTCTCCAATTTCAGAGTTGTGAAGAATTGGCAGTTTGTAGAAAAGTCAAAATAGCTGGGTGCTTAGCACAATTTAAATATGATTTTGAAATTAAGAAAATTAATACACATGCTAAGAGATTTTTGTTCCAGCTGGAAAATATTTTAATGCAACAAGTTCCATCTCTTCAGCTTTATTTCAGGCCTGCAATATATGTATTAATTACTTTGCACCCAAAATATACAGTAACCAGAGAAAAACGGTCTCCACTTTTGGAAGTGTTATTATTAAAACCAGACTCCTGCAAAAAACCCTTAAAGAAAAAAGAACAAAGATTTTTTGGTGAATACTGTTGATCTGTCCTTTGGCAGGCAAAACCAAGAGTACACTTTTAAAATGGTTTATAATAATGGCAATCAGAAGAGGTGCAGATTTGGTTACCCTAATGTACAAGTATTCTGCCATAAAGAAAGCTTTGCCTTTTTCTTTTGCCCGCATAAGCAGCCTGCGTTTAGAAAGGCCTCTATTCTGCAAGTGCTGACACAGAGTTCACAGTTTTTAAAAGTTAAGTGTAACACATCTTTGCAGGGTTTGGGCCTCTGTGATTTTCTTCCTTGTATTAAAATTCTAGTGCTGTGAAAGGGTTGATTGCTATTTTTTTCTGTTCTGTATGTTTATTAATTATAACAGTTGTAATCAATTTCCTCTTGATAGAAATACAAAACTTTATATAATTTTGTGTTTGTGTTTATTGTTTTAGGAATCTTTGGATGATTCTCAAGTAGCTGGAGTCTGTGCAACAGAAGAAGTAATTCGCTATGAGTATCACGTCTTGTATTCCAGCAGCTACCAAGTACCTGTGCTTTATTTTAGGGCTTGCTTTTTAGGTAAGACCCATTTTCTGTTAAACAGCAATGTAGAAAAATATGTCAGGTGCTATAGATGTTGTAAACTAAAATTTTATATTAAACAGAGAAACAGAGTAATGATCATGTGTAATAAGAAAGTAAGAGATGAGGCTGTTCACCAGTAAATTTTGTAATACTCCAGACAGAGAGCTTCAGGACCTTGGAATAGATGATATCATCTCAGCCTGAAGGAGGCTGAACTTTGGCTCCTGGCGTCTTGCCTGTAGTTGACTAAAACTACTGGTCATTTTTCTTGTTCGTTTCTTTAAATGAATACAAAATCCTTAAAGCTGCAGGTCTGAATTTGGCTATGAAATAAGTGGACATAATTACAGTGCTTCAGCAGAGCTCTGTGTCTCTGAAGCCTGAATTTGAGCTCCAAGGCTGGGGCTAAGTATACCTTTAAATATGTATGTTGTTTTCTATTTAACTTTGCTCATTTTAAAAAAAAATAATAGTGATAAAGTATTGCCTTTTTCTCTTTATGAAAACTATTTTTTGAAACGAACAGATTTTGTTTCCTCCTAAAATGTACATCTTGTTACGCATTACTGAATTGCTACAGCCGCTGTGATTTCAGTCACCATCCTGTCAGGAAGGAAGGAGGAACACAGAGCCTCCCTCCAAGGCCAGTGTTAGTGTCACTTATTTAATCAGCAAGCATAGAGTGATCATATTGCAGCACTGGCTGTGCTTTCTTCCTCTGTACCCAGCAACTGTGTACCAAGGACTGAAGGTTTGAAATCTTCAAGTCATTTTGTTCAGTCTCCTGCGTGGTAGCATCAGCATCTTTTGTGTTTTGAATAATCTCCTAACTTTATCTAGATAAAGATGTCTGAATGTTGCCAGAGATATCTTTTTCTTTTTAATTAAAAAGTAGCTTAAGCTGCTTTGAATGTGTTTGGTAGATTTAATCACTCTCTGCCTTATATTGTTTAATGGTTTCTAATTTTGCAGTGTTAGCGTTTTAAAAGGCACTTTAGATTTAAAATTGAAGAACAAATTCTCATAGATTCCCTGGTGAAAAGATTTTAGTCAGAGGTGCAGTTTCAGGAGTGGATAATTTGGGGCAAATTTTCAAACTGAGAAATGGGGAATAGGGGACATTGCTCTGCCTTCCACCACCAGAACTCATTTGCACACATCCTGCTGCAAATTTCTGTTCTATTGCAAGCATTTATAAATGTGCAGTGTTTTGCTTTTAAACTTATTGTGCAGACAGAAGGATGAGGGAAGTTTTGCTTGAAAGAGACAGCTTAACCTATTTGTGGTCCTGAAAAATGTCATTATCTCGGTTTTAGCTGAATTAATAGCACACAGTCTCTACAGAAGAGGATGGAGATGCTGCAGGTAGAAGAAATAGGACACTATTTCGACTATACTGTACTTTCATATAATTAGTATTCACCATAAGCAGTTAATCACCAGAGAAGAGCTCCCAGAGACAAAACAAGTTGTTTAGCTTGTCAGCATCAGGGAATCGGAGGTGTTGAAACATGACTCCTTATATCTGGAAGTAGATATTACAGAAGCTAGTGGATGATCTAATGCACAGTTGCAGTATTACGTGCCAACAGCTCCCCTTGCAGTACAAATCTGTTATTGTTCTTGCAACTAAGATTGTGGTTTAAAATGCTTCTTGGGAACCTTTCACGATGGAGAACAATGATCTTTTCAGATAATTCCTTAAGCCATCTAGCTTGTCTTTCGTATTTAAAATTTTCTTCTAACATCTAACATTCTCTAACTCTTGAAGAAAGAAGGTTACTAAATACTGGTAGTAAGTACTTCTCCAAGAATGTTTTCATCTAATATTCTCTGGTTGTAGTTCCGGATAGTTTAGTTTTGAAAACAAAACATTCTGTCATAACTGCAAATAATTTACCTGCCTGTGCCCGTGCTATCTGAAGGCCTCAGCATGGGGTTTCCAGAAACGTGCAGTCACAGCTCCCTAAACTATCTCAGAAGGGTATCTTTTGTCTTGCTCTGAGTATGTTATGTAGAAAACTAAGCAAAGCCCTAATATTTATTTCCTTACAAGGGTGACAGTCTTTCAGTGATTCCTTTCCTCACCTTGTTTCTTAGATAGCTGGAAATGCTCACTGCATTCTTAATCTGAAATAGACAGGGAAAAATCTTCTGAGACCTGCATCGATTTCCCACTCTAAATTCCTGCTATTGTTTGCAGATTAACTAGTAGAATGGTTCTTCACAAGTCTCTTGTGAGCTACTCATGGTTTCTCTTGAATCCTGTCCATACTGATCCTCATGCTAATTAGAGCATGTTGCAAGAGGTGAAGGTGAATTATAATCCTTTCAGTGTTTCCACAGCTCTGCCCTGTCTTGTCTTCCCCAGCAGAAGAGCAAGGATGTTGGATTTAACACAGCTTCCTCTCTGGCAGTATGTTAAGTGGCCATTACAACTCGAGGCTTGCCTAGGAAATGATAATTTTTTTTGTTCAACCTGACTAAGTAGTTCTGCTTGTTTTGCAATATTCACTTCCTTACTTTGTATGCTATGATAGCAGCTGGTGCTGGCCTGTCCAAATGTGCAATATTTCAAATAGACTCTAAGAACTTTGCTAGAACAATTAAATCCTTCATTTCTACCATCGTATGTGAATTTTTACTGACTCCAGGAGAAACTCTTAGGAAAAAGACTTCAGAAAATACTCCTGTGGAGTTTTTTTCTTATCCTCCTTGGCAGGGTTTGTATCTTCAGGAGCTTGTGTAAGTGAAGACGTCTGGTTTTTACTCCTTTCTGCTAGCAGTTGTGATAAAAAAAAATTGCAGGTCAGTCCTTTCTGGAGGAAGGCAAAAGTTGCAAAGCTGCATTGTATCTTTACCCTTGCTGCTTTTTTGCTGCTTTTTAAATTGCATGTGATAACTTATTTTCTGGTATTCATCTTTAGACCCTTTTTTTTGTGTGTGTGTCAGAGGAACTTAATTATGTGAGGTAGTACAAGATACAGGTACAACTGCAACAGAACTAAAATGTTTTGAAGAGCATCTAAACTTTTTGGTAGTCTCTGGAAATAGGTTTGCAGGGATAATCTTGTTCTGTGCAAGGATATACTTTGGCTGAAAATGATGAAACGAGATGACTGCCTGGAAGGGTGATTGAAAACATTTTGGGAGATAGGAAGATGATTTTAGGATACATATACATAAATCTAAGAAATGTTTTTCACTATGTCATGATACTTCCCTTGTGGCATGTTTTCCTACATTCAGACCTCACGAAGTCCTAGTCTGTGTCAGGAGCTCAGAGCAGTGGTCCTCAGTACCTCAGAGTATCAGAGAACTCGGTGTTTGTTCTCCAAAATCAGTTTTATCTGTGCCATACCTTTCAAAAGCAGAGGCCCTTCTTTCTCTGGCTTCTGAGATTACCAGAGAGGTAGCTGAAGAAATGCACGAACCCTTGCTGAGATCTGATGTCAGCAATTAGCCCTCTTAGAGACAGATGGTCTAGGCAATTAGCCTTTCCCTTCAGTGCTGGCATCAGCCAGATGGGCTGGGCTAGGTCCAGTAAGCTTTCTTTAATCAGCAGAGTATATTCCCCTTTTCTTCATCTTTAAGATGTCAAGGAACTTTGTTCTTTTCCTGAACCATCTTCATCTAAAGCCTTACACTCTTGCACTGACAGTGAGGTAGCAGTAACAAAATCACAGATGCACACAGGCATCAGTCAGGAAACACCCTGCAAGAAAAGAATGACTTGTCTCACAGTTTGCTGCTTCTTTTTCCTACAAAGGCAGAGGAAGAATCTTTAATACTGGCAGAGCACCAAAAAGAGCAGGACTAAGGGGAGTCAGTAAAGACTACAGCCTCACTCACCTAGAAAAGAGTGAAGAGAGGGGATTTTCAAATTGACCAGTTCAAAATATGTCTAGCTCTCTGACATAGATAGGTCCCTGCCAATAAAAGCCATGCTAATCAGTGGTTATAGAGAGACAGCTTGTGAGATAATGTAACTTCCTCCAACCCCGAAGGCATGACTTTCTGTATTCATAACAGTGCTGAGCCTGATGGATGTGCTTTCCAGAAATCAGGCTTACTCTCTGAAGTCAGAAGCATGCAACCACTCTGTTCTTTCTCAGACAAATAGTTCTTCTTAAGATCTTGTCCTGTAAGAATGAGTTGTGTCATGGTTTTGGGTATAAAAACAAACAAAAAAACCCAAACAAATAAAAAAGCCCATCTGCTTTTAAACTATTCTTAACTAGCTTATGGTGACACGAGTTAGTTAACCCCAGCTGACTTCAACAAGGCTTTCTCAGAAAAATTTATTATAGCCAAGACAATCTAAATCATAGCAATCTGAGCTTCTGATAGGAAGGCTATAGTGGCTGGTGCAGGTGAAACAATTGATTCAAGCTCACAGCTAGTGAAAGGGAGAAGCAGAACCAATATTTAGGAGTTTTTGATTCCTGTCCTTTAGCACCTTTCTCTTAAAAAAACCTTTGGTGGTTGTTTCTCAGGTACTTTTGGCCTCTGTTGCAGGATAGGTGTCATGTTTGTTGCATCAAAGCCTGTGTTTCACCTGTTGGTACTAATGATAGCTTGTGTACAGATTTGTGGCTTTCTGAGCACAGTGTTTCAAAAAGGTACAGTAAGCCTAGGCTGGCCCACACACAGCTCGTGCTGTGTGGTATACATTTCCTTTCACTCTTTGTGGCAAACTGTGTGATTATTTAATAAGCTGAATTACACAAAACCACAGATTTTCTCCTCTGTCGACACACCAGCTTCCAGCTAGACCTAGTGCAGGGCTTGGGACGAGCAGCAGACACCTCAGCCTCTGGGTGGTTGTCGAATAAATAAACACATTGCTGAGTGAATTTGCAGCCCACACCTTCCTCTGCCGCCATGTCTCTTTGCTTGTTGCTGCCTTCCTTTTCCAGCAGTGCTTTCTGAGTTGAGCTCCACTATGGAGAGCTGAGTATGGAGATGCAGCAATGGCAAGGCCCAATGGCTGCTAGGCCCCGCAGGTGCCACAGGCCCCCTGGTAACAACAGCAACAATTTTTGACCTGCCTGGCTAGGCAGCTGGATGTGTGGGGATTGCAGAGATGCAAAATGGACTGCTGAACCTGCGAATGCTGGCAGCCCTGCAGAGGTGGAGTAAAAGTACCTAGAGAATACAGATGCGTCTACTTGTGCAAGGGTGGGAGCTTGGAAGAAAAATGGCTTCAGTTGTGTTGTACTCACATAAGCCAAGGAGTTTAAAATGTAACACCACATCCACTCAGGTTAACTGAAATTAGTTTTATCGGAAATACTTGTATTCCAACATGGAAGCAGCAACAAAAGAAAGCAGGCTACCAAAACTTCAAACTCTTCTATTTCTCATACTTCTGTCACAAATTTGGGATCATAATGTATTTTTTATTCTATTCTATTTTGTTCCAGTTTGGTTATTGTATTTTATTTCTTAAATGCAGAGAGAAAATGCTAGCGTTTCAGGTCTTCATCCTGCAAGGGGCAATGTGGAAACTGCCCATTAATCATCTGTCCTTCTAGGAAACCAAACTGGTCAAGCTCAGTTAAGAATTTAGGAAGAATAAGAATTTACTTGGAAGTATGTATGAAACCTTGCTCAGTTGAAATTAAAAAAAAATGACCAATTTCAAACTCATTTAAAGTTTAGTGAAACATATTAAATTTGTGAAGAAAATTCAGAATTTGCAAGGGGCTTAAATCCAAACATATTTCACTATGTAAATCCCATGATCAGAATGCCCAGATCAGTTTTTTGTTCCTATGTGAAATGCTGCAATCCCTTTATAATAACCAGTGACATTTTTTATTGTGATCTCACTTAGGTAATGTAAAGGTTTTAGTTTAAAGTTATTCCTATTTTTGTCTGAAATGAAAATAATACTGTACTGAAATGGTACATGTACTGCTTTTCATACATGAAGTAAAAGCAAAACTGGTGATTTCTAACTATAACATGCTTAATACTTGTTATGTACTCTGTCATTTCTATCGATGTAAAATTTAGTTGAGCAGTTTAAGTTAGAGATAGTTAAAGTTAGAATAATGCATTCCATGTGTATAATCTGAATTTGCTCAAGGGATGTTCCAACAGTTCACAAATACAAAGGTGTACAGAGCAAAATCGAGAGGAGCAGATGAAATTTTTTATTGAAATGTGTGTTATTTTACATTTTGCACTGGGACTTGTTCTGGACTGCCTTAGCAGGCAATCAGAAAACTGAAAATGGCATTTTCAATACAAAATCCATGGCATTTTGTATTACCTATACACTGATGATCTGAGTGTAAATATTTCCTTCTAAACTTGACTTACATGCTAATACCAAATTTCTTAGTAGGTGTTAGATTGCCTCCAGAGCAACTTTGATATCTGCCATCATAGGCTCTAGGATATGAAGATCTAGCTGGTCTCACCTTCCTGAGGATAGCTTAGTGTATCTACCGAATATTCTGTTGCCTTCACAGATGCTTCATTTGCTACATATCTTAATGCTCCTGCTCTGTCATGCTTATGTAAGGGCAAAACTTGGAGCTGCATTGTAAAATGTGTGCAGAGACTGAAACAGTGGCAGTAGGCAGCTGTTGTTAACTTACACCTAAACGTGGTATTCAGATGTTAATTTGGTGCATAAATCTTGTTCATTTTATAGATGTGAAAGTGTCAGTAGAATAAAACTAGTTATCACACAATAACAGTCTCTGACACTTAATAAATGCTAAGATGTAGCTACTTATTGAAAATATATCCAAATATCCTGCTGCTGTTTGTCAAAAACAAATATTCAGGAAAAAAACTGACATGCTTATTTTCAAAATGGTTGACACTAATATCTTGGCATAATCCTAACTAAAAGCCTGCAGCAGCAATGCAGTCATCTAGGTTACTGAAGGGCAGTGTTTTTCAATCTCTTTTACCCAAGTGATTTTTTACATTATTAGTTTAACTTTACAACTTGCAACCTGGAAAGTAAGTTGTTGCTCTCAGGTGACAGAGACTAAAGATGATCAGAGTGTTTATGTCAGTTTTGAGAATTCAGGATAGTTTTATACAGATATCCAGTTAGGATTTGAACTGTGCTGTACCGGAGTTATGAGGCCAGAAGTGTCTCAATCACATTTTGATGTGATTGTTTCCCTCTCCCTCCAGAGAATCAGTATTTTTGTACTTAGTTTTGCTGCTCGCTATTAAAGATACTGCCTACTTAAGTGTGTTAACTGTGGGTGCTTTTTCCCCTTCCCACTACCACAGATGGAAGACCTTTAACACTGGATGAAATTTGGAAAAGTGTTCATGTGTGCTACCAGGCTCGCCTGCAGGAAGGGCCATGGGACACTATTACACAGCAGGTGAGAAGCCACTAGTCCTTTACACAATTGATGAATGCAATATATGCCCAAATCCTCGCTGGTCTTATTTCTCTCCTGTATGCAAATAGAAGTCTTACTGAGGTGCTGTTTGAGCCACTTAGCCAACTACAGTTTCAGACCTGGATTTTGAAGAATTTACCACTTAAAACTAAATGTGACATTATCTCTCACTTAAAATAATTTTCCAAAGCCAATCTTGAAACCTCTTGGTGATTTGAGTAATCATGGATTTGGGTACATAAGAAAGTAGTCTTATTTACCTAAGTTTTGTCTAGTAATGCAACATTTCCCAGATTGTCTGCTAATCAAATTACTGAAAAGACTGTATAATTTTTTATTTTAAATAAATTTCCAATTGCTAGGATTGAAGGAGAGAAAATATATCTCTCAGTCAAATAATATGTTATTCCTGACAACTGTGCTTGAGAATCAGTGATTAATGAATACTGTTTTACAAGAGGAAACAGATTAGTGAACTCTGCTATCACTGCCTTGTTTTAGAGCTATTCAAATCACTTTTATTTGAAGTGGTCTTGAAGTCACTAGACTATTTCAGCAATTTATGCCATGTTTCTGGGGTTGCATGATGGTCTTGAAAATAGTCTCACTTGTGCATAGGAAAAGTGACATGGCTCAGAGCTGAGCTGATTGCTCCAGGCCTGCAGTTCAAATTTGGACAAAGAGTGGAGACTCTCCAAGTGTGAAGTCTTTATCATCAGATGAACATACTGATGCCTCTATTCTTCTACTGCTTCAGTCACTGGCTTCTTGATCTTAGCTGTTTCCGGGTACACAGGTTTCTTAATACAGCAGCTGGCACAACAGGAATGTAGCCTCAACTGAGGTCTACAGGTGTTCCCATAATTCAACTAATACAACTTAATTACTGTTTGTAAATAGTACTCAATCATGGGAAAACAGGCAACATTCATGTTTTTTCAACCACAGACTATTATTTGTATTATAATAGCTCTCTGGGAATCTCACAGACATTGGTTAATCCAATGTTCACTGTGCATTTCTGAATTCTAATTGTGAGTTTCTCTCATATAGATGCTTTTAAATAAAGTGTTAATTACCCAGCTTGTCTACTGCAGAATGAAGATGAGGAAATTAGATTTTATGCTAGCAGGTAGCTGTCTATCTGTACGAGAAAGTTTTATAGTTCAGATTGTGAAGTTTTGTGATTCATAGCTGAAGTTAAAGATTTGTAGCTAAGTGATCACTGTTTCTGCATAGAGAGGCAGAGGATTCATTTAACTTTGCCTTCATTGAATGTATATTCTTGCATTCCTGGTAGACAGAGACATATAGTCAGATGATAGAAATCTTTTGGTGTTAAAATCTTTAGTATTTCCCAGCTGAGCTGTTCTGGCTTGTGGATAGTTTATACATGTAAAAATGTATAGATGTGTTTGCTGTGTGCATGTTGGAGGTGTTTTTGCCTTCTAATACAACCTTCCAGATTTCTCTATGGCCTAAAGCCACATTCACATTCAATAGATAGCACTGTTTCTTTCTTTCTATTTGATGCAAAGCACTGCAAGAACCTACAACCCTGTATAGATAATAAATCATAATGCAGTGCTACTGAGAATAAAGTATAAAGAATATGTTTGAAATATATAAAATCAACGTAATGAAAGCCAAAGGAAAACCAGAAAACTTCCACTCCAAAATTACTCTTAATGAACAGTAAAGTAAAACTGTCCTACATCTTATAGCTGGAGATGTGTATGAGGCTTACACATGCACTTGTTTTACGGATGGTAAAATGTATGGCATGCTGAGCCTCTTGACTTGGTGGTATTTTCCCAGGGGCAGTTCAGCCTATATGAATCCAGTGACAAACAGAAATTATGATATGAGAAAGAACATTTCCTAGAAATTATTAGTTATATAGCAAAATACTTTGGAACATAACACATCGAGGTGTTACGCCATTAAATAATGTCCATTAAGCAATGTCCATTAAATAAGAACATTGCCGACCAAGTTAAGCTGTTTCTTCTAGAATAACACAGACTGAGCCTCAAGCATGATATTGAAACTGCTGGCAGGTAGAAGCTGGAGATGGTAAGATCCTTCAGCTGTTCTAATAAACATGCAATTTAGAATTACTTTTTTTCCCCTACATCTTCTGCACACATCTTCTCCATGAAGCCTATGTACCTGTGGCTTAAGACCATTGAATTTCACTGTCCTGAGTGAGGTAAGCCTGCTTCACATCAGTATTGAACAGGGTCCATAGGCACCAACTGCATTCCTGCATTGAAAATGTGCTTTTCTACATGTCTGTGAGAGAGCCCCTGGGAAAGTGGCTTTAAGAAGTCTGTAGTTTTAATTTTAGATGTAAGCAGGAAGGCACCAGGCAGTGAGGGTACATTCACTTGTGGTCATTCATTCCAGTGACCAGAATATAAAGGGAATCCATGTTTTTTGGTACGTCTCTGACAAATTTGGAGGGGAGGGAAAGCACTGGCACAATTAGCTGTGCCAACACTATTGTATTACAAGAGCCAGCAACTGCTGGTATAACACTTCCCCTTGTAAATTGAGAGATACGTATGCCAGATCATGTATAAGACAACAGTGAAAATAAGAGAATTCTCACAGAAATTATAAAACATAATACAGGCATACTGTAAGTAATAGCCAGCAAGGCTCAGATCAAAACAAGTTAGGTCTGCAAGAAAAAGCATGTTTTTTGCCCTCTAGTGGGTCAGGGTTCTGAACTGAAAGATACAGTTTCTCTTCTCTTCTGCATTTCTGCTGACCCATTTTGTTATGTGGGTTAGGCTTTGCCTGCAGGGACACAGATCATGTAATGCAAGTCACTGGGCAAACTCACCAAAACAAGCTTGAACTCTCAGTATACATGAACAGCAGAGAAAGAACATTTAGGATTTTCCTCCAGAGCAGACAAAAAATTTTAAGTTCTACAAGCAATTCACCATTGGGAAAAAAATGAACAAAAATGTCATTGGATAATTATTTAACTTTTAACCCTTGACTTAAATGCTTGGTAGGCTGGGGAGGAGGGAGTCACACTGCCACATATAAGTCACAGATCCACAGGTGTCAACTGAACATTTGTAACTTATATTCTGTGTCTTTTATGAAATTTTCATACTCATCCCTTTATATCTGAGACTCTTCCCTTTATATCTGAGACCAGAAGTGGAACAGTACCTAAGCGCTAAAGAGCTTAGGTGTGTAGGAAATACATTGCCAATGTAGTTAAAAACAGATTTTAGGTAAAATTTGAACTTTTTTTTGTTACCTTTGATTATCATTGGAAAGTCACATTCATTTTTAGAGAACATGCCTTCAGATGTTTTTACTGACTAGATGATTTTTATTGCAGAAAGCAGAAATCATCTAGTTACCTTGTCATAAATAAATTAGTATGATAAGGTTGCATAGTATTTTATAATGATAATTGATAAATGGTGATGATTTAATTGCACTTCCTCTAGTAATAATCTTAAAATGCTCAAATGAAGTTCCTATGATTGGCTTTCTTGTGAGTTAAATCTCCCTGGAGTCTTCAGTCATCCCTTTTCTACATCCGGAGATAACTTGCTTTCGCTGTTTTAAATAATACAAATCACTTATAACACACAGCTGTTTAACAAAACTTCTAAATGTTGCTACAGGTCTCTGTGGGTATTTCCTGATGGTTTATAATGACATCAATTTAGCACACCTGGTAAGATCTGTGTGAGCTGGAAGTAGCTTAATTCTGCAATAGCAGGAAAATTAAGGTGTATTTATGGATTACTGTTGCATTTTAGAACCCTTGCCAACTGTGATTTTAGCTTCTTTTCATGAAGAATCAGAAATGGAATTGCAGACATTGCATGTCAGAGTCCTGAATAGTTTTCTTGTAACTTGGTGAGTGCTTTTGAGGATATACTGTATTAGTTATTACTCCCTACGTATTTCAAAAGAATGGCTCTGTGCCTTTTTGAATTAATGGATGCTAGAAATGGGTTTTTCTGAAGAAGCTGCTTTCTGAGTGTCTGGTGTAACTTTTCCTGAAATGCAAACAGAACAGCTTTCCTCAACTGTCCTGCAGTAGATTTATTCTGTTGGGAATTAGGATGAAATCCCAGCCCTGCATTGCCCTTGTCAATATCCTGGGGGAACTTCCGGATTCCTGAGGCTTCTAGCCCTGTTTTTTTTCCTTTGGTTGCATGGCATTTCAAAAGTAATTATTAAGCTGGCTATATATTGGCCTTTAGAATGAATAAGAGATGTAAATGTTCAGGAGAGTGGATTGGAGAGAAACAGAAATATCACAAGAGAAGTTGAAAACAGGATGAATGTGAAAATAACTCTGAAGGTCCTGAAGAGATTTCAATTCATAGTAGAGAACAAAACAAGAAACATTCTGCTCAAAACAAAGCTTTGAGCAACTGGATCCAGCTAAAAGAAATTTAAGGTAAATGGTAATAGTAGTCTATACAAAGGAATGAAGAAACGAGTCACCATGGTAATGGATGCCATCAAGATGTGTTTCTCTCACATATGCTCTGATATTTAGCGGAGAAATCCAGTATCATTTTAGGTAGATACATAGTGGCATTGCATATGAAAGCTCCAACCTAATTGTCCTCCTTTATGTAAGCCAATGTCAGATCCGCCGTATGAAAATCCAGGTACGGTGTACCAGAGGCATCCTGTTGGCAGAATCACAGAATCACAGAATCACCCGGGTTGGAAGGGACCTCAAGGATCATGTAGTTCCAACCCCCCTGCCTAGCAGGGCCACCAAACACACACATTCAGATCAGGTTGCCCAGGACCCTGTCCAACCTGGCCTTAAACACATCCAAGGACGGGGCATCCACAACCTCCCTGGGCAGCCCGTTCCAGGGCCTAACCACTCTCCTTGTAAAGAACTTCCCCCTAACATCCAACCTAAATCTTCCCTCCTTCAACTTGGATCCATTTCCCCTAGTCCTGCTGTTGTC